AGTGAAGAAGCACAGGTGATATTCATTCAGTAGAATCTGTCCTTTGAATTCTGGCCTTTCCCTGTGCTAGCCACATGTGGTCTGACAGTCTCTGGTTGTGGCCAGCGGCAGCACAGGCACCTCTGTCTCAGGCATATTCTCGGGAGGGCAAACACCTGCTGCTCTACAGTGGATTGCGTTGCTAAGCAACGGTGATGGCTACGTGAGGCGTAGTAAATGCATTTTCTACTTGCAATAATTTTAGCTGGTGATGGGTTTGGGTGCAACCCCATTGTAAACCAAAGGGCATCTGTTCACTCTGCAGTTCTAGCAAATGAGACGTGAAGGATGTGTCCTGTGAAGTTCCTGTGTCAATGTTTCCATTTCCAATAAGAAGACATCTGCATTTGGAGAGCCATCATCTCCCTGGCTAGCTGTCATCTTGGTTTGGAAAATACTGCGATGTTTGGAACGTCAGCAGCTCGGCTGCCAGTGTCAGAAAGGAGTCAGTAGATCCCTGGACATAGAGCCCAGCACCTTAACATTGTAAAACCAATTCTCTGAGATTGTATGATTTCTATACATTGTCAAAAAAACAAAAACAAAGCCCACAATAAATATCCGTAAGGCTTTTCTGTTATTTGCGTTCGGATATATCTGCAATGATATGAGATGCAAACAAGGGCGCAGGACACTGTTATAATAAATGTATAAAATGAATGGAGGCTTTACGGGCGGGTCCAATCACTCCCTTCCTGGTCTTTCTACTGCTATCCGCACTGTCGTCATACTCAAAGATAAAACTAAGTGTGGGCAGCATTTCACATCTGCAGTGTGTTTTCCACACAATTTCTGACTCTAAGGTGCTGGAGCGACAACAGGATTGGGTGGGAATTAATCCTTTGGCCTCTAGAAGCAAACTTGGATTCAGACCGCCATGCTCTTTGCTGCGCAACCTTGCATGAGCGACCCAAGTTTCTAAACAGCACTCTTTCATGAGTATAAAGAAACAAATATAGACTCTTACATTGTGTTACTGTGAGGATAAAATGACATGATACATAGCGTGTCTAACATATCCCTTGGAACGGTCCCAATGTGTCCCATTGTTTAACCCTCAGGAGCCTTGAAAATAAGCAGGATTTTGATGCTCACCGCATTCTGGGATGGTCACGGGGGCCAACATTAATATTCCTACCTGCTGAAGGAACAGAAGCTGAGAGGTTAGAAGGCCTGCTCAGTCAGACGCCGAGTCTCAACCTGGGCTGCTGGTGTTCCCGACCAAGCTCTGTGGTAACACTCCCCTGATGTTGCCAAGGGAGTAAAACAAGCACATTTCAAGACCAAGCCGTCTGCCTGTTGACTGCAGCAGATACAATCATTTCCATGAAGTTTGTTCTTTCAAGAGAAATGATTACTGTAGCACCTAGGCAGCATATTTTCAATTCACTTAACAGATTCACATTTAATTAATTTATTCTGACAATGATATATCCTGGGAGTTTTCTTACTCCCCTACATATTAACAGGTCCAAATCTAATTACCCAATTTATCCTGACCATGATATATCCTGGGAGTGCTCTTGATCTGCTATTATTGTCCCAGCCCACCTACCCTTACAAAAATCAAGTGGAAATGATTTAGGAAGGCAAAGCCCTGGGGACCTGTTTTGTTGGGACATGCACCTAAGCAGTGTAGGGGCTCTAAAAACCACTGCTTAGGGACTCATGCCAGCTGTTACCCAGGATAAAACACTCCCCTTCCTAGGACTCTGTCCCATCAGGTCAGGGCTGGGTTACACTGGTAGCTCCAATCCTGAGCAATGCAGCAGAATACCCTGGAGAGTATATCACAAATGCTTCCTCCCCTACTTATTCTAACTCAGGAGACCTGGAGGAGGCCAAGGAATCCTTCATAGCAGTTTCAAGGTCAAGGGGCTTTCCTGGCCAGAGGTCTCTGGAACAGATCTTCTTACTCTTCCTCCCCAGCTCTGGTGTTTCTTCATCTATTTGAATCAAGGAATGGAGTAGCCAGGAAATGTTGCCAGCCAGCCGGCTCTCTGAGAAATGTCCAACAGAAGCAGCCAGGCAGCAGGTGGAATAGTTGGGGAAGGCTGTCTTGTCACTCAGACAGCAACTGTTTAACAGAACTGAACATGCAGAGTCCCAGTCCGAAGACAGCAGGCAAGGATGGTACCATGTGCGTTTCCTCCCCATCTCAGGCAGAGCAGGTCACTCCTTTTTTGGCCCACTCCCATGCCTCAAATAAAGGTCACAAATGGGCAGTGTTCTGGTCCGGTAATAAAATTTAATGCTTTTGACATTTAAAAAATCGAGAAGTTTCATATTGAAAAATTCCAGATTTGCCTTGGAAAAACCTGTCAGATTGGCCACACTGGACTCGCACTGCCCTGGGTCATGGCTGCGTAGCCATGCCCCGTGAGGGTAGACACCTCACCCCTCCACAGGCACCACGGCCTGCCTCATTTCCTCACAAGACCCACGGTTGCCAGTGGGGGCTTCTGAGGTGGCGCCCATCACTCTAAAATGTACACTCAGATTATCTAAAAGAGCAGAGAACAGCAGTAAGTGCCTGAACACCACCTTGTTTGAGGACCATGGAGCTGTTCCTACACCAGACATTGCTCACCAACAAGTAAACAGTGATAGGGCCCAGCGCGGTGGCGCAGTGGTTAAGGTCCTCGCCTTGCACGCCCGGGATCCCATATGGGTGCCAGTCCTATCCCGGCAGCCCTGCTTCCCTTCCAGCTCCCTGCCTGTGGCCCGGGAAAGCAGTCGAGGACAGCCCAGAGCTTTGGGGCCCAGAGCTTTGGGACCCTGCACCCACGTGGGAGACCCGGAAGAGTCTCCTGGCTTCGGTCCGGCATAGTATCGGCCGTTGTGCTCACTTGGGGAGTGAATCATCGGACGGAGGATCTTCCTCTCTGTCTCTCCTCTCTGTATATCTGCCTTTCTAATAAAAAAAATAATAAAAATAAATCTTTAAAAAAAAACAAGTAAACAGTGACAGAACAAGGATGCGGAAGGCATTGCTGCATTTATGGCAAAATTGCTGTTGAAGTTAGCGGGCACTGTGTGCGTGTGTGTGTGTGTTTCCCTATTTCCTTGGTCTCAGGAAAGTTCTTGATTCTCTTCAATAAAGTATTACCTACTCTGTGACCAAGCAATTCCCTTCCTGTTCTAGTGGAAATGAAAACACATCACGAAAATGCTTCTGCAAGAAATAATACAAATAACCACCATCAAAAATAGTGGAAAACCAAATTATAGTGTATTGATGCAATGAATACTATTGAGCAATAAAAAGAAATTACTGACACTCATAACAGAAGAGTCTCAGAATCTACTACATCAAGGAAGCCAGAACACAAACATAAAATTTTATCAATGTAAATTTCACGATCATGCAAAAGTACCTGATGGAAATCCGAATCGGGCTGAATTTGGGAAGGGGGACTAAAAAAGCTTTAAGTGCTAATGATGGAAAGAAGCCTCTTACTTTGATTCCAAAGATGCATGCCTTTGTGAAAATTCACTGATCTCTAAATTTCATTATGTATTTGTATTTATTTTTAATGTTAATTTTTCATGATATACTTCCAGAAGCTCAGGAACTTCCCAACCCCACTGTTTTCCTGTATATTTTATTTCTTCTATATTATTTTAGCAACAGTCACAAGTCCATCATTCTGCTACTTCAGTGCATCATGACATTGTAGGTTTAGACAATAAGGGAAAAAACCAAGCAGCAGGAAACCCGCAGCCCCAGCTTGGATGGGGCCTGTCCCAGTCCGTATACTCAAGATAGGAAGGACCTTGCCCTGGGACACGCGGAGCTGAGCTTACTTCCTTATCATTTTTTAGTGGTGACCATGGGCAAACAGCTGAATCTTTAAGCCTCAGTTTTCTCATCTGAACATGGTCCTGGGACTAGCATTTACTTCACAGAGCTAAACCGAAGAGCTCAGGGTGTAAATGGATCAAGTCTTCTGCACGATCTCTGGCCTCGGGTGTCCTAAGCAGGTGGTTCTCTGCAGTAACAAAGGAAGACAGTGAAGCAAAGAACGCACCTGCATCATGAGATTTCTGAACATGTTCGCCTCTTGGAGATACCTTTTATTCTCCCTTGTTTCAGGAAAGAATTCCTCCTGTCCTAAATCTTCCGTTAGCTGGAAATATGTCAAACCTCACTGATTTTTGACACTGAGGGAGCACCATAGGAGTAAAAGACCCCATTTCCTTGCTATCGTCCCACGGTACATTTTTTACACTGCTGTCCAGACGGTGGTGGCTGAAGTGTGCAGGGAAAGCAGTGAGGGACAGTTGTCCAGCGGAACTCAGGATCTTGAAACAAGCTCCACACAAACCCTTTGTATTCCTAGGAACTGAATTTCAGGGGTTGCTGTGCCAGAACTTGTATCACTCATGTCCTGGCCAGTTCTCCCAGGGCTCACCTCGCTGGGCCCTGCTCACTGAGCAGTCACACCATCTGCCACAGCCACAAGCCAGAGGTGACACCCAGCTTGTTTCAGAGCAACTCCTTCTGCCTGCCACTGTGGTTTAACATCAAGGGGCAGAATAAGAACTACCTACTGAATGGCCTTCTGTATCTTCTGTCCAACAATGGTTAAAGACACTACTAGCTTTAAATTAGTAACAGTAAAGGGAACATTTTAGTTCAATGAAAAGACCTGTACAATTTTTATGATTTTAAAACTCCACAGTTTGTTTGCTAGGCTCATGGCTTTTGCCTCGAACAAATAACTCAGATTCAGGAGTCATCAGGAGTTACTATGTGTTCAACAATGCTGAAAAAGCACCTGCTTTTTCTGCCTCCTTCACCACGTTGTTGGCTTCACTGCACCCATCCTTCATCTTACACCGCACACTGAACTGTAATCCCCAACACTCCTCCTGGGGAGAAGTTTTGGGTCATACGTGCACATACAAATACATCAGACAACAAAACATATTAAATAATTTTATTCTTTTTTCCTTTATGTTGCTAACAGCAGCCCAGTGTTAAAACATTTTAGAAAACCTGAAGAAATAAAAAAAAAATTTTGGTTTACATAAAGCATGTATAAAAATATCTATTCTGATAAACAGATATCTGATAATTACACTGCCCAGCTTTAAGAGTGCTAAAATAATAAATAAAAACCCGCAAATCAAAAAAGTAGGCTAGATAGCTTTGTTAAAATTCATTTTAACAATTTTAGCTAACCAACCTGTACTAATGAAATTCGAGTTACAGTTGCAGCCAGATCATGTGAGAGAAAACACCGTGTGTGGCTACTTCAGAGCCTTCCTTGGAAGCACCCGCTTCACAGCGGGAATGGAGCTGGGCTCCCAGCTCCAACAGTAAGCAGCAACAAAGAGCAGGGCAATTCCCACCTTTCCTAATAACCGTTCTACAAGAGTAAGGAAAAAATGACAACAATATCACTTCTTTCGACCAGTGAACATCAAAACCAGAATTGTAAATTTCTGCTAAGTGCTTGGATTACGATGCTAACACAGTTAAGATTCTTGGTTAACTAGATTTGACTTTTTAAAACTCACAAAACATAAAATATTTGCCTTCTGGTGCAACAGATTCAAGCCATAAGCAGTAAGTTCAACTTTTTTTTTTTTCTTCATCAAGTACTTTAACAGTGCAAAACATTAAAAGTCTTAGGCCACACTGCCCCCGTTTTGGCAGAGCGTGCCAATGTGAACTGCTTCAGGGAGGTATCACTGCCAGGAAGAGGCCAAGCAATCAAAACAAACACCTGCAATGATTCACTCGAAGGCCAGCACGCCCAAGGTAGATAGTTTCTTATGTAAGAGGTCACATATGTGACTCCAAGTGTCATTAAGCGAACGTCAGATACAATATTTTGTATTTCTGGCCCAGAGAAGAATTAATCTCACTACTTTGAGCAGTACTCAACATGCACGAGCAGGTCGCGGTGCTCCGTGGCTGGATACTGGATGTTGCAGTTGGGACACTCCACTAGGCTTTCGTTGAGCGCGGTGGAGGGACTCTTGGGGGAAGCAACTTTTACTCTATTTTCAGTCTCTCCTTGGAAAGCAGCTAATGGCTCCGTGAAGGCAATCTCGTGAAGCTGTTTCTGAAAAATAAATTGCAAGCACACACTGTACACCAGGCACTGTAGCCAGCAATTCTAACTGTTCCACAGATGTTGTAGCTGCTTCAGCTTTGTGGACAGATTTTTTTACTTGTCGGGTCAGGGCCCAAAAAGTTTCAAATCTGAGCTTTTATGAGTTGGAATTTTCAGTTTAGAGATGTCGAACCTGTGCTTAATCAGAAACACGTGAGATAGCGATGAATTCCTGTAACCGCCCAAACAACCAGGAAGTACTAGAGTTGAGTGTTGGGGACAGGTCTTGTGAAGACGCTCACAGCCAAGTGCAAAGGAGGTTCTGGGAGCCAAGCTGACTACATTGCCATGGCTTCACAGAAAAGGAACAACTTTATAATGGACTATATGAAAATGAGAGAAGGGGGGGCAGTCAGAGCACAGCGGTCAGAGCACCGCACGGGACGCTAACATCCCATGTAGGAGTTTGAATCCCAGCTGTTCTGTTTTTGATGTAGCTTCTCATTTATGTGCCTAGGAAAGTAGTACAGGGTGGCTGGGGTACTTGGGACTCTAGGAACTCCACATGGAGTTCTAGGCTCCTGGTTTTGACCTGAGCCAGCCCTGGCTGTTGGAGTCATTTGGGGAGTGAACTAGCATATGGAGAATGCTTCTGTCACTCTGCCTTTTAGGAAAGCAAATCTTAGAAAAGGAAACAAAGGGGGGAAAAAAACAGGCATCAATGAATCTTTACATCAACCAGGTTTCACGCAGAAATGACTAAGATACTGCATTATGCCTGTAAGAACTTCCTTTCTCACTTTTTAAATCAAGGATTGAGTATTTTACAGCACTTGATGAAAATACTGAGTGGCAGGAACACAAGATACATGAAAATCCTAAGTAGTTTACTTTGTCTCTGGATTTTTAGACTTCAAGCAAAAATCACTGACAGAAATTAATTACAAATTTGAATTCCAAGTAATCTAACTTGTCAAAATCAATGACATACTAAAACAATGGAAAAGAAACCTGTTGTTTCATTCATATAGGAGCTACAATTTTTTTTTTTTTTAGATTTATTTTTTATTGGAAAGGCAGATAAACAGAGAAGGGGGGGAGAGAGAGAGAGAGAGAGAGAGAGAGAGAGAGAGAGAGAGAGAGAGAGATAGAAAGATCTGTCTGCTGGTTCACACCCTAAGTGGCCGCAATGGTTGGAGCTGAACCAATCCGAAGCCAGGAGCTCCTTCTGGGTTTCCCACATGGGTATGGAGTCCTAAGGCTTTGGGTGATCCTCTACTGCCTTCTCAGGCCACAAGCAAGGAGCTGGAAGGGAATTGGAGCAGTCAGGACCAGAATCAGAGTCCATATAGGATCCAGGAACGTGCAAGATGAGGACTTTAGTCACTAGGCTACCGTGCCTGGCCCAGAACTTTAATTTTTTAAATATTTATTTACTTCCTGATTTACTTATTTGAAAGGCAAAATGACAGAATGGAGAATCTTCCATGTATTGGTTCATTCCCAAATGCCTGCAGCAGCCAGAGCTGGACTAGGCCGAAGCCAGGAGCCAGGAACTCCATCTGGGTCTTCCAGGTAAGTGACAGGACACAAACACTGGAGCATTATCCACTGATCCCAGGGTATGCACTAGCAGGTGGTCAGGTTGGAAATCGAGTTGCCAGGACTCAACAAGCATGCCCACATGGGACACAGGAGTCTCAAGGGGTGGGGCTTAACCTGCTGTGATCCCCAGTGAGTTTTTAACAACTGCTTTTTTGAAAGATTCCTTTATTTATTTGGAAAGCAGAGTTAGAAAGAGACAGACAGGAGAGACACAGAAAGATCTTTTATTTGCTGACTGAGATGACTACAACACTGGGCTCTATGAGGGTGAGGCCTGGAGTCCAGAGTATTGGGCCATCTTCCACTGCTTTTCCAGGTGTGTTAGCAAGGACCTGGGTGGGAAATAGAGCCACCAGGACTTGAATCAGCCCCCATATGGGATGCTGGCACTGCAGGTGGCAGCTTCATCTGTGATGTCACAGTGCTGGCACCAACAACTGCTTTTTTCTTCACTAAAAAATAAAACAACTGAGGAATTCTATTTGTAACATCTCATCATTTCAATTATTCTGTGGTGGTAGAATGATATATAAAACATGGAGTAATGAGATACACACACATATAAATTTTTACAGGACTGGCATAAAAGGTTCAGTGGCGCAAAACATGTTGGGAAAAAAAACCCTCCTTTTCCTCATAGGAACAATGTAGAGCTAAGAGTTACTTCAAGCAATTGCTACTGTTATCAAGACAGCTCACAGATGTCCTTAACTTATGACAACAGCACGTTAGCAGTAACAGACCCTTCAGCACTTTCCCTTCAACAGAAACCCAGGACTGCAGTCCAGCACCATCTGACTGCTCCGGCTTTGGGCCCAGTGCCCCAGGCAGCTGTGGTGATCTTTGGACAACATGTACTTGTTACCAAGGAACCTCACAGCCCTCTTTCCAGTGCTCTGATTGGATGTCTCCAGGGCAGCTCATCCTTCTAGACTGGGAAACGATTTGACACAGAAATAGAAAGATGGTGAAAAGAAAGAACAAAAGTTTCACAGCCGTGCAGACTTACCAAGGATTCCAACTGTGTTATTTGATTTCTTGCTTTTCGGAGCTCCTTAAGAATGACATGCAACTGATGTTGCATATTTTGACGATCAAGTTTTTCATTTTCAAAATCCAGAGTACATGCCTGCATCTGAAAATGCCCAGGACAAGACAGTTACAAGTGGTATACTTTGACTAGTTCCTTTGAATACTTGTGGTTATCAATTAGCATAAGGATATTTGTTGTACATGATGGCAGGAATTCAGTGGAGCACAATGGGATGCTAATGGGTGAAGATTTGGTTAATCCGAGAAGCACAGCTAATGCTTGAGGCACATGTGAGTGATGCTGTGGTTAGAATTACCTCCCCACATCCCCGTTTTAGTAAGAGAGAAGGGAAAAGGGTAGTTATTCCCTGATTTGGAATGCAGTAAGTCTCTTGCCCCTGTAGGAAGTTCTGTTCGAAACTGTAGGTAGCACTATTAAGAGATCCTTTGGGCCAGAGCAGCTGAAACCACTGGCCAAGATCTGTCAAGCAACTGCCATCAAATCTCCAAGAAATTGGTTTCCCTAAAGTTAGAAACAGGAATACACAACTAGCAGCCTCTTCAAATAAGTACAAAACAGTTTCACAACCTTTAAATAGTTTTCCACAGTACAGAACAAACTGAAGTTAGAAGTAACCCTCGTAGATACCTGTTGTTCCAACAGAGCTACCCGCGTTTGCTCCTCTTGTTGCTTTAACAGAGATGTGTAAAGGAACTGGACCTGTAGGATGTAAAGAGATGCTCTCATGTCTGACCTTTAACCGCTGGATCTGGATGCGTGAGAAGCTGACATCACAAGGCTTACATCTGCAAGCAGGACAATACCTGCTAATTGGACCTGAGTCACTGCCTCTGGTCACTGGGCAGCTAGCTACACAAGTAGCTGGGCACAGCCACCTGGCCAGGAGCTTCTGGAGACAGGCTGAGATAGCACTGAGCTCTGTAGTAACCGCACTCTCCTGCCCAGTAGTTCTTCATATTCACTAACTGTCCTGAGTAGGACACCCGGCTGTGCCTAGCCTCCTTGGCTGCATAGAAAAAGTTAATCACTTGTGTTAAATCCTTCCCAAAAGTCACTGCTCACATGTGTATACAGATGATGGTGGTAAACACCAAGGTGGCAAATATTACAGACTACTACCCTTCCCCGTGCTCAATTTAGCAAGAATTTTAGGAATTCCTATTATGATTGTGGCAATAACTTTAAAAGTTAACCATCTTGAATTTATAAAGCACAAATACATTCTGTCAACTCACACTCACAAAAGACCTGTGAGGTAAGCAGAAGTTATTATTATTCATTTGACAAGTAAATAACCTGGGAGTAAGAGAAATTGTGTGATCTGCCAAAGGCCACACATTCCAAACCAGAGCCCAGGGGTGGGACACTCACTGGCTTCCTTCTCGTCATTGGTTCTTTGGTCAAGCACCACTTCCTCAGGGAGGCCTCCCTGGCCCCACTCTTTGCCTTATCGCTGTTTTCTTTAGTTTACTTATGTTTTGGTTATTTGCTTATGTCCCATTTCTGATCTAGAACTTGTTGTATTCCTTACTGGATCCCTAGTTGTTAAAATAACCCCTGAAACTTAGAAGTACCCAAGGGAAATTACACAATTATAAACCATGGGTAAGCTGACCTGAGTTAAGAGTTCTTCAGATCTCTTCTTCTCTTCTTCAAGTTTTTCTCTTGCAATATCATTCTCTTCCTTGAGTCTTTGTATTTTCTCTGTTTTATGCCTATCATCTTCCAGATGTTGGACATCTGCCTTTCTTTGTGTACACAGCAGCTGATTTAATTCTTGAACCTCCTTTTGAGTTTCCTCATATTTTCTTCGGAATTCACTTAGTTCTAAACTCAGCTGAGTTATAGTTTGTCGTTCAATCTCAAGATCCTTTCTTGCATTTGCTAAAAGATGGTTATAATATTTTTGCTTCTCTTCTTGAAGATAACCTATGACAAAAAGCATTATGGCACAATTCATTTTATACAGCATTCCTGGGAAATAAATAAGACTAATATTCTGGGAAAAGTTAAACACTAAACATGGTCCCATAAAGAGATTATACTGTGTTTACAAAATGAAGTCAAGGGGATATTTGATGGAGGAAGAAAAGAGAGGTTCAGGCACATTATTCCAAGTTACAAAACAAATAAAAGAACTAAAAACAGTCATCCTGGGGGAAGAGGAAGTCACTCATGTCTAAACATAAGAAACTAACAAGAGGAGATTGCATGATTTACAGATATGCAAATGATTACCAAAATTGAAGAGCAGAAACAGGGATTGCAAAGGGAAAGGTGGGCTAAGGCTGTTTTAACAGGTACTCACATTACTTTGATAAAAACATGAGGTGAGAGAGAAAACACGGAGGGCACAGACTGGGAACGACTGAATGGTACAGCCAAGAAGAGTATCAGACCTTCCTCCGAACTGAAACCCCACTTTACATACTGCAAACATGTAAAGGCACTGTGGCAGGAACTGTGTCTTGCTAACGGCCAAACAGCTTTGAATTGTCCCTAGACACTGCCTATTTTCTTTTCAGCATTAGTTTCATTTTAAATATTCCAATGGAAGGCTCCAGAACACCAAGTTCGGCTGCCCTTCCTTGAGCATTCTCCTTACATAACAGCGTTTGGGTTCCTGAGTCTAGCCCTTTAAGAAGTGCTTTGTGGGCCTGGTGTGAATCTTCTCCCTGTAAGTGCCAGGATCCCACGGAGCACTGGTTTGTGTCCCAGCTATTCCACTTCCTATCCATCTCCCTGCTTGTGTCCTGGGAAAGTAGTGGAGGATGGCCCAAAGCCTTGGTATCCTGCATACTCATGTGGGAAACCCGAAAGAAGCCTTTGGATTGGCTGAGCTCTGGCTGTTGTGGCCATCTGGGGAGTGGATCAGTGGATGGAGGATCTTTCTCTAGGTCTCTTCTCCATAAATCTGTCTTTGCAATAAAAATAAATAAATCTTAAAAAAAAAAAGTGTTTTGCATGTTTGCTTGTCTTGAATCCCCATTAGCCCACTGAAAACACAGAGTAAGGTTTGTGGCCCTTCCTGCCATCCTTTGCAGGGTGGTTGTGATACTCAACTGAGATTAATGTTAGGGCAACTGTGATGCACTTGACAAGAAGCATTCTGAATAAGAAGATCCATCTCAATTGTTTGATGAGGTGTAATTAATATATAATGTAATCTTCCTCCTGAAGTTAAGAGGAGTAATTGCTGATGGGAGGCAAAGCAGAAAGACACTTGCTAACAAGGCCAGCTGCAGGGCAGCAACAGTGGAGCAGGGCTTTGAAGCAGGGGCAGGCCATGCACAGGTGCAGAAGACATAACATGACGTCAGAGCTGCCAAAGACCCTTACCCTGGGTCTTAACGCCCTTCTCCTAACCAAAACTACCAGGAAATAAGAGAGACCTGCCACAAGCGTGCTTCTTACTTCAAGGCCAGAAAATCTGCTCTTATTTCACTTCCCAACACATATCTATTAAAAGCCTGAATCTGATGAATCACTCCTTTTGGCAAATGTCAGGCTCAAAAGAACATTGCTAAAGCAGTCAGTACCTTCTGATTCAGTCTTCGTCGTCTGCTGTGGGAGTGAAGGAGCAGCTGTTTCAATTTTCTTTTCCAATTCAAAGATCTTTGCTAAGAGTCCTTTGACATAGACTTCTCGCTGCTGATCATACACAAGCCACTGCTGATTCTTCTCTAGAGCCTTCGAGTGAAAAGAACAACAGAAAAATAAGAAAACAACCATCTTCACACGGACAAGGGGATCCGAGCAGCATCGTCTTTTTCTGCCTCATTAAATACTTGCGGATGACGGCTGTGTGACACACACCGTCAGAATACATGACAATGTGGCAAACTCCATCTGAAATATCTGAAATACTGTATCACCCATCTTCAACTTTTTAATCTGCTGTTTCTTTCAGATAATAAATTCCTTAAAATGAGAGCATGGTTTTCTGAAAGAAGTCAGTCTCAATGTGGGGGTACAACAAATAAACAGAAAAACTTTGGATGATGAGATATTAACAAAATAGGCAGAGTTTGCTTCAGCAGGCAGGTAGGAGAGGAGTGAATCCCTTTGATACTATCGCCAATAGTCTTTCATTCGATCATAACTTTCTCTGAGGAAACTGAACATGTTTTGACTGCCTACCGGGTCTCCTAGCACAAGGTTTTCAATCTTATAAAACTGTATCTATATTACCTAAAGATTACACCCACAAATCTGTAACAACACATCAGCTAATATACAAGCTACATTACTTTCAGTGGATAGAATAAAAGTGTGAAACATAGGATCATGGATGTGTGGGTTCTTCATGTCAGGTTTCTTTTAATCCTACTGATATCGTTAACTCTGACAAATGCATACACTCCAGCTCTTACTGTTTTTAAGTACTTCACTCTTGGAGATTAACCAAAAGGTGAAGCAGGAAGGAGTGTGTAGGGAAGCCCAACCATCCTTCTTCCTGCTCCTTCCACCCTCCCACTGTGCCAGGGACAGTGGCAGGTCTGCTACAGAAAGCAGAGCACTCTTAAGCTAACAGCCAGTGAAGAAGACAGGTGTCCTGCTGCTGCTAGGCGGAAAAGCCCATAAACACACAGCATCAACACAAGCAATCCCAACTCCCTCCCCTTTCCAACGGAGGCAATCAACCCACGAGCACGGGCTGTGTTCTATGTTCCAGACACAGTCTCGGTGGCTGTGTGACGAGGGCACGCACAGTTAAACCTGATGCCAAATGCACCTAAATGCTACAGATGAAGGGATGCAGAAAAGAGGCTTATGTGCCTGAGCCCATCTCCTTTATGACAGCCAGATTATTTTGCCCTGAGCCCCCAGCTGGTTGTGTATGTGATGGTCCTCCTACCTCACAAGAATGCATTCCTTGCACGGGGGCCATGGTAATCTCTGCATCATTCCAGGGTTAGTGTAGGTGCTGCCAAAGCGAGCACGCACAGGCATGCATTGTGAAGAACCCCGACTTCAGTTGCTAAGCAATAGAAATCCTCAGCCGGAGGATCTTCCCCTCCGGCAGTGAGAGGAGCTGCTGGCCAGCACCGTGTACTGTGGTGAATTATGCATCAACACAATGAGCATGCCATCGTTTTTTGGGAAAACAGTTATCCCTTGTCCAACCTCTTTTTCAGTCCCTCAAAATGCCAAATTGTTTTAATTATCATAATGACTAGGACAATCTGATTCTCCTCCCTTAGACTGATATTAAAATCCTCCACAACCTGTCTCGTCCCATCCCTCGGTGGCCTCTTGTCTCCTCCATGACTGTTTCACTCCATGCACCTTGCATACCTTTGTGCCCAGCCCAAAGTGGGCACGCTTTCTCAAGTTGTGCGAGCCCAGGCTTGTCTTGCAAGGCTCCTCAGGCTGCCTTCCCCTCACCACACTCCTTCCCATTTGGCATCTTCTATTTGTGGCCTGGACTCAGACCTAGCACGATTCCCTGTCCTAACTAGATCACGAGCCTCCTAGAGACCAAAGGCCCAGACTTGTTCAGGCATTTAAAAAAATACATTTATTTATTTTTATTTGAAAGGTAGATTTACAGAGAGGAGAGACAAAGAGGTCTTTCATCTGCTGGTTCAGGGTCCAAATTAACACAATGGCTGGAGCTGGGAATGTGAGAAACCAGGAGCTTATTCCAGGTCTCCTAAGTGGGTGCAGGGGCCGAAGGACTTCAACTGTCCTCCACTACTTCCTCAGGCCAGAGTCAGGGAGCTGGATTGGAAGTGGAGCAGCCAGGACATCAACCGGTGCCTATGTGGGATGCCAGTGCCACAGGCAGAGCTTATTCAGCTGTGCAGACCCGATAGTCAAGCATTTTTAAGCACTTGAGTGTACAAGTTCGCTGTGTCCACAACAAGTGGCTGTCCAATAAATGTTTGAGAATAATGCTGACAATGTGCGGTGGTTAGCAAGCACACAAGGCCTTCAGCTCCAAACTGAAGTGTGAGAGAGCTCAGGGAAGTGAGAGGCTCTAACATTTCCTCTCACAGAGGACAACGATAAATTCAGAGTGATTTAAAAAAGCAACAATCGGTAAATGCAAGAAAATGTAATAAAAACCCTCTTTCCACAACTGCTTCTATAATCAAGTGAATATCTGTTATGGACACCATGTGTAATAATTCATTCCAGGTCTATTTTCCATTCATCATTATCCATGGTAGCACAGCAGCCAGGAAGAGTAATTCCATATCCTGCAGGACTGCCATAAAGAGATGGCATAATACAAGGTTCCTGACCGAAAAGTTGGACAATGCAACTTTACCAGAGTACAATTGTACATGCTGAAATTCATTTTCAAAAGTATTCTAATTATCTTTATCACTTTAGAAACATCTTACAGGAGACGGGCACTTGGCATAGTGCCAGCATCCCAAAGCGGCACCAGTTCAAGTCCTGGCTGCTCTGCTTCTGATGTGCAGAGAGGTCTGGGAGAACGAATTGCCTGGAGAGCAAGAACCTGTTGCCATATTAGTTTGAGAAAGAAAAAGAAATAGATATGAATTTAAACTGTTAAGAGGTTATCTTCCAAAAGACCACATGAGGGCGATGTTACTCTGCTCACTTTCCAGTAACTGCATTGGCTCTTCGCTCTGTAACAGGAAAAGCTTCACAAATGTATTTCCCAGCTATCAGTAAAGGTCAATATTAGTTTTGAATGCTGAATGTCATCACTGCATTGATTACCTCTTCCAGCCCTGAGCCATCTACATATTTATTAGACGTGCAATTAAGATTTTCATTTAAGCTATCACTATAACTATCAAACAAGACTGGACAACATAAAACTCTTGTGGAATGCTACTGAAGCTTACTTCTGGCCTGACAGAGATCCACTAAATACTCCATGGAGTGGTTAAACTGCCACTTGAGATGCCTGCATTCAAACCCCAGCTGTTCTCCAGTGCAGCTTCCTGTCAGTGCGCACCCAGGGAAGCAACAGATGAAGGCTCACGGGGCGAGTTCCTGGATCCTGCCTCAACTGGCCCGGGGCCAGCTGTTCCAGGCCTGCGGAGTGTCAATCAGTATATGAGACCCCTCTCTGTCCCTCTGCATTTCAAACAAATTAATATTTAAGAATTAGACTGTACTCGCAGGATAAAAAAAAATGTAATTCAATTGACCAAACTGGAATAGAACCATTGTAACCATGTTGAATTTATTAAAGCCGTGTTAGTCACATAACATCCTCATCCTTCAGAAGCATAGTGAATTATGTAAACTTAGAGAGATGTGGATATGTGCGACTTACAATCAAATGGTTTGGAAACAATGCTATGTGTTAATGTGTATGGGAGCAGTCAAAAGAAAACACAAAATGAGGGAAAATGTAACAATGGTTGAATTTTGGTAGAGTATATAGACATTATATGTGTCATTCACATTCTTGCAAATTTTAACTTTGTCTAGATTTAAAAATTCTTTTTTCACTTTATTTTTATTTCTTTGAAAGGCAGAGCTACAGATATAGAGAGGGAAAGACAGAGAGGTTGTCCATCTGTTGGTTCACTTCCCAAATGGTCCGAAAGCCTAGGACTGGGCTGGTCTGAAGCCAGGCGCCTGGAGCCTCTTCTGGGTCTTCCAAGTGGGTGCAGGGGCCCAAGCACTTGGGCCATCTTCCACTGCATTCCCAGGCACATTAACAGGAAGTTGGACTGGAACCGGAGCAGCCAAGAAACAAACTGGCACCCACATAGGATACAGTTCTGTAGGCAACAGCTTAATTTGGACTTTAGCCGTTAGGCCACCACGCTGGGCCCTCTATTTGTAATTCTAAAAATTACATTCTGATGACTTAATTTGTTTTTCCCCCTTTTCAGATTTCCTTTTTTTTGGACACGAGCTGGAGGGAAGGTCAATGTGCCCCAACAGGAGACACTTGGGCAGCACTGAACCTAATCAGAAACTGCCTTTAGCACACTCCTGATCTAGATGAGGAACAAAAGGATCAAATATGTTCTTGGGTACTAATCCACGTAATTTTATTATGTTTTTCAACATTTTATGTATCTTTAAAATTATTACTATAGAATCAATTTCTTGTCAAATACATGTGTCAAAGCAAAACTATTGATCTCCTGGGAGCCCAAGTCACTTGGCTTAAGTGAACTCAGACAGACAACAGCAAGCCTGCGGCTCCATGTTCCATCCTTAAAGATAGCTTTGATAGGGCCCAGCGCGGTGGCCTAGTAGCTAAAGTCTTTGCCTTGAATGTGCCGGGATCCCATATGGGTGCTGGTTCTAATCCCGGCAGCTTCACTTCCCATCCAGCTCCCTGCTTGAAGTCTGGGAAAGCAGTTGAGGACGCACCAAAGCCAGACCCTGCTCCCGCATGGGAGACCTGGAGGGAGTTCCTGGCTCCTGACTTCGGATTAGTGCAGCACCGGCTGTTGCGCTCACTGGGGGAGTAAATCATCGAACGTTAAGAACTTCCTCTCTGTCTCTCCTCTATATCTGACTTTGTAATAAAAATAAGTATTTTTTAAAAAGTATATATGAAGAATACTTTAAAAAAAAAAAAAAGACAGTTTGAGAAACTCCTAAGGGAGCGCTACTCTGCTTTCCGACACGAAAATTCTCACATTGAGAATGAAGAGCCCAAAGAACACGGGAACTGATGAGGCCCGAGGAGCTGGCCTGGCGTCGGGGCCCGGCCCTTCACGGCTGAGGGATTCCCACAGCAGGGCATATGAATTCTTCAACCCACATGGCTGAGCAACTGGCATAGTAAGATACGGTTACTGCATTTTAATGGTTTGGGGATAGAAGTACCTAAAAAAACCTGTCACTTTAATTTTTTGGAACAAAGGCAAACTTGAAAAAAAATTTATCTTTGCAGAGTAAAAACAGGAAAAAATTTGAATGTCTAGTCATAAGCAACCAGTTCCAACTCAAACTGAACTATGGGATCTCCAAATTTTGAAAACATTTGGAAAAAGGGAAAATGGACTTACTGTTAACTGGCAAACGTCCCACTGGGGCTCTATTTATGGGATTTGTTATTGTTTGCTCAACTATAAGGACCAGAACGTTATAGAGTTTATAAGGTTCAGAAAAGATGGCTGTTAAGCCTAGTGGAATGCCACAGCAACCGCGTAATTTCTTCATTTCAAATATCTCTAGGTAAAAGACTTTAATAAAAGCACTGGCACACCCTGCTAGACAGACATTGAAGAGCTTGAAATTTTCCTTTTGTAAATCAATCAGACTTGGAGAGATACTTGCTGAACAACATATAATAGCAATCTTATGAGCAAGCTTTGCTCAGAGAGGACATGCCAGTTATATTTATGAAATCAAAAACACCTAACTACTGACCTAACAGTCAAAAGTTTTATACTTTGCTTATCCGATATTGAAAAAAAAAAAATCCACTACGCACAATAGTTTATCCAATTATTAAAAATACTGTCTATTGCGCCTGGTGTGGTAGCCTAGTGGCTGGAGTCCTCGCATAGTATGCACCAGGATCCCATATGGGTATCGGTTCGTGTCACAGCTGCCCTGCTTCCCATCCAGCTCCCTGCTTGTGGTCTGGGAGGGCAGTTGAGGATGGCCCAAAGTCTTGGGAACCTGCGCCCGCGTGAGAGACCCAGAAGAGGATCCGGGCTCCTGTGTTCAGATTGGCTCAGCTCCAGCTATTACGTCCACTTTGGGAGTGAATCAATGGACAGAAGATCTTCTTCTCTGTCTTTCCTTCTCTCTGTATATTTGATTTTCCAATAAAAATAAAACAAATCTTTCAAAAAAATAAGTCTATCAATTTAAGTGTACCTGAAATACAGCTTTACTATATTTATATGTAAAATAACCTCCTCTCAAATTCTAGACAAAGAAAAGTGATATATGTAAAAAGAATGTGTTTCTTTTTTTGTACTATGAGGAAATCCGCATAGTACTAATTTCAAACTGAAAAGCACAACTGGCAGAAATGAGCAAAATAGCAAGAAATCTTAAGAAGAAACTTCAAGATAAATTACATAATAATAGTTGGGTAAATTAGGTAAACCTAAAGATGGAGCAGGGATTTTAACCAAAGCATTTTATGAAGTGGGTGGTTTCTAGAATTTTCTATCCTAAAAAGACCATGATTAGTGGAAATGGTTCTGTTAAGTACCCAGGAAGAGACTTAGAGGATGCTCTCTCACTCATCAACTGAAATTGTTGCCAATGTCTAGACAGGACGCAGGCACCAGGAGCGATTACCGGGTCTAGCTCACTATTCCGGCTTCCTGACGATGTGAACCCTGGGAGGCAGCAGGTCACAGTTTAAGTATTTGGGCTTCTGCTGCCCACATGGGAGGTCTGGATTAAATTTCTAGTTCTTGGTTTTGACCTGGCCCAGTCCCTGATACTTTGGGCATTTGGGGAGGGAACGATCAGATAGAAGCATTGGCTGTCTAGGTTTTCTATGGATCTTGAATAATTTCTTTGTTAATTTTAAAAAGGAAGAAATTAGTCATCTTTCCCCAACTTAACAAGAGAAAATGAACTTACATCTTGTAGTCGCATTTCCACTTCATGAATATTACTCACTGAGGAGTTGAACGAGTTTGCAGCCACAGTCTGTAAATAACCCAACACAAGTCAACACAACAGACATCAACAACAGACATTATATTTAACAGACATTCAGTTTCATAATACTGAAATATATTTCACAGGGGTAGCCCCAAATTCAGATTGAATATGTGCAGGTAAACCATCCAATCAGGTGACTGCTGTCAGAGTTCAACTCTCCTGGGAGCCTCCTACGCAAACTGGATCCCTGAGACGTCAGCTTGAATTTGACCTCTGAAGCTCTCGGACCCAGGATCCCAGCACTGCCCTCAGTGTGTATCAATGGGCCAGTGGTTTTTACCAAAAAAGTCAAACCAACTGGACTATTTAAATGAAAGCCTGAAAACACTCAAGCAACACGTAATAACTTTTCCTTAGAATAACACATTAGTTATAGGCTGAGTTTTCTTCATTCAAAACAAGACTAGGAGTATTTTGATCTCAAAATTTGTTTTGGAGTCTGGGATATTTATGTATATATAATGAGCTATCTTGCAGACAGAATCCAAGTCTAAACATGAAACTCACTTGTTCCCTTACACACTATTCACACACTCTGAAGGTTATTTCATACATTCTTTAGTGCGTGTTTTTACTGCACTGCCTAAAATCACATGTAGAATTTTATTCAGGTGGTATCATTTTTTTAAAAGATTTATTTATTTTTATTGCAAAGTCAGATATACAGAGAGGAGAGACAGAGAAGAAGATCTTCTGTCTGATGATTCACTCCCCAAGTGATCACATCGGTTGCAGCTGTGCCGATTCGGAGCCAGGAGCCAGGAACTTCCTCCAGGTCTCCACACAGGTGCAGGGTCCCAAGGCATTGGTCCGTTCTCAACTGCTTTCCCAGGCCACAAGCAGGGAGCTGGCCACTAGGCCATCATGCCGGGCCCACAAGTGGTATCATTTCTGTGCTCAAAAAGTTTCACAGATTCTGGAGCATATCAAGCTAGGGATACTCAATAACATTATTAGTATCAGTTTATGTAAATGGAACTCAAAATATAATTCCTCTCCTCTTGTTCATTTTCTCATAGAAGTAAAGGGGGTAGTAGGTGGCCTGGGGCCCTGGTTAGCCACAGAATCAGAAGAAACTATTTCAGTTTTGTTCAACAGATATAAGCAATGATACCTTTGTGAAGTTCAAACATTTTTTCCCTCCAAAGTTGTTCACTTTCACTCATGCTAGTATGCAGTCCTTTCTCGCTCTCAATTTAGCCCTCCAGGTAGAAACTATGATAGAGACAGCTCACTAAATTCCTTTCCTTCGGGTCCTGGGAAAACCGCAGACTGTTTCCCGGCCTTCACTATGGTTTGTGGAGTCAAATGACTGAATTGACTGATGGAATGCAAGCAGAATTGCAATACACCAACCCTGGGCTTGGCTCCCAAACTTTCTGGGTGGTTTTCTAGATGCCCTCTGTCTTCACAGGTGGGCATGGAGGATTTAACCACCTCAGGTGATGGAAGAGCCACTAGCAGGAAGAAACCTGCCCTCAGAACTGCTAGGATTTGCATGTCATACTCAAACACGAAGAGACCTGAACTTTACAGAAAGATTTAAGTCAACCGATTTGGCTCTGATTGTGATATTTCATGAATTTCAGCTCCCTAGAAATTCTGCAGAAAAATATAACCTCTTTAAACTCAACAGCAGTGCATCCGTGAAAGTACTTATAATTATCTAAGTCTGATGACTGCCAACTTTTCTAGAGGAGATACAAAGTAACAAAGACAGATTCTTTTTTTTCTTTTTTTGTATTGCATTTCATTTTATGACTTTGTTCATAGGCTCTGAGGTTCCCCCAACCCCTGCCCGTGCTCTCCCCCCATGGTGGATTCCTCTACCTTGTTGCATGTATTTTTTTTAAACTGTTGCAATATTATAGTTCAAATCCAGTCATGCTTCTTTCATTGCAAGCATGTACCATGCATAGAGTCTAGCATCTTATTGTCCAGATCAATTCAACAGTTTCTTGGGGAGACCATCTCTGGTCTTTTAAAAGCAGAGCTGGCAGAATATCGTTCCGACCAATTAAAAGTCATAGGATAACATCAACAACAGTTTACAACATTATGGAGTTAATTGACATGGTATTGAGTGACTGATATGTTAGAAAATGCAAGTTCTTAACCATATCCTGTGACTACTTCATTGACATTTCAATTTTAGTTTATATACAACCGGCTTCTATCCACCTTAAAATGGCTATAGGATACTATTCAGCTGTCTTGTGTCTATTTTCATTTTTGTATTTAGCAGTTTATTGTACTAAAGCATAATTTTTACTGAACTTGACAAAGGATATGACAAGGGATATGTACTGAAGCACAATTTTTACTGAACTTGATAAGGGATATGTCAACAGTTGAGGCACAGAACAGTTTTAGGAGGGGTGTGCAGAGAAATCTTCAATACCCCAGTGAGGAGTAACTTATTTTCGTGTCCTACCTAGCAAGGTATATGTTGAGTCTCCGCTGACCATTTCCTGTCTGGTTCTAAGCTTTCCTTTTTGTTCTCTATCTATTCTAATTTTGTTGTTTTTTTTTTGTTTTGTTTAGTTTTGTGGGGGGGCTCCGGGGCGACCTGATGGTCACTGCAGGAGAGAGTGGGGATCCAAAGTTGGAACTAAGTAAGGACCAAAGAAATCTCCTCTCCCTAGCAAAGACAGATTCTTAATAACGCTGATACTGCATTTGAAAGTTACAGATCTTCCCCTACAGGTGGTACTAATACACACATATCCAAATTTCGAAATGAACTGAAAATTCTATTGATCAATAAGTAGCTATTTACTGAGCATATACTATGTACCAGGAACTATGCTATTCAATACATAAATATTACCATATATAATCATCAGTATTCTCATAATGTGGGAACTGAAATTTAGGAAAGGAGTCTAGTGAACTCAGCACTACCTCTAGGGCTACTCAGATTCAGAGATCTATTCAGAGAAACATAGCTAGCAAGTGGCAAAACCGAGAGCTGAACCCAGTTCAGCTACCCAGATTTCAACAACGGGTGGACGGCAAGGGGCAGGGAGGAGGGAAGCATATGTAGTTAGGAAAAGCACAGCTGATATCATAATTGGTAGTAACCTCAAATATAAAAAAAACGAAGACATGAAGTCTACTGCTTTCATAATACAAACTACAGAGATAAGAGGTCAACAGAATCTTTTTGGTTATTGGAGATACATAGTAGATGTTGCATTCTCAAGTTTCCCAGGCAAAACGAAGGAGTAGGGACTAGAGGAAATCAGGTTAGCTATTTCCGCTTATGGAGAAAGGTCTAGGATATTTAAAAAAATAATTTTTATGTGACCTGTAAGCCGATTCTGCTGGCTCGTTGGCAAGCCTGTTTTAACAAACTCATTCTTCAAAAGACTTACAGATTGCATTGGAAAGAAAAATCTGCACTTGAGGAAAATTATTAGTACCTGTGACAAACGGAACGTACTGGCTTGGCTTTCAAGCTCGGCAATTCTTGCTGTGGTGGCTGACAACTGCTTCTTCAAAACATCTGTCTCTTCAGACAAGGATTTCAACAACTGCTCCCTCCTTTCACCTTCTTTTGTTTTCTCTTCCAGCTGTTCGAGCAATGCAGAGTTGCTGCATCTGGTCTTTAGTTGGTCTCTGAGTCGCTGTATTTCTTTGTCTTTCTCTGCGAGGTGGTAAACATTCTTTCCCCTCTCTTCTTCAAGGGCTCGAACTTTCTACAAATAAACCAAGAAGAATCTTACAACAAATCCAGATCAAACATCTGGATAAACATACTTCAGCAAGTACTTATGAAGTGTTTATTATTGGCTAAGTCAGCACTGTGCTGGAAATCAGGGCCAAAAACAGATGAAACCACGGTTCTATCCCCAAACAACTTACACGGGAGAGTAAACCACTATGGGAAGTAATTCAGTATTTATCAAATGAATAGGTGTAGACAGAGAGAAAGAAGCCACTCCTCTCAAAGGTGACGAGAGAAAGTTGCAGAAAGAATAACTCTTATGAGTATTTGATAATCATCCTTCCAGAATATCAAATCTTATAAACCTAAAGAATAAAGCTTATCAATGACCTTGAGCTGGCAAAGTTCTACAATGCTAGAACAAGATAAATGCATTCAATAGGCTGCTTACTCTTGATAAAATGATTTGGTAATCAATCTCAAAAATATTTTAGGAGTACTAAATATTTAAAAGACTTTTGAAAGATGGGCCTGGTGCGATAGATGGGCCTTGTATCCGCTGGGATCCAGGATTTCATACGGGTACTGGTTCATGTCCAGTTCCCATCCAGCTCCCTGCTGGTGGGCTGGGAAAGCAGTAGAGGATGGTCTAAAGCCTTGGGACCCTGCTCCCATGTGGGAGACTTGGAAGAAGCTCCTGGCCCAGGGCTTTGGATCAACTTAGCTCTTGCCATTTTTGCCATTTGGGGAATGAGTCAGCTGATGGGAGATTCTTCTCTCTGTATCTCCTCCTATGTGGCTTTCCAATAAAAAAAAATCTTAAAAAAGAAAAAAATACTTGAAAGATAAAAATGTAATGGTTTTTACAGTGTTGCTGACACAAAACAGAGCCAACAGGAGGAGGAAACAATTCCCAAGATGATGGGGCTAACTGGACCAAAATTTAAAGCCTGAAAAAAAGCAATTGATAAAATACAAAAAAAGGGAAATTTAGGATAGGTGAATGGTTATCCATGAGAGGATTTTAGCTGTCCACAAGATTAAGTGAAGTCAGTAGCATGTAATAGATAAGAGAGCTGTACACACACAGCTTTAGATTTTCAGAGTTTTAGCCACAACTGTGCCATTCCAATCTGTGTCTAGCAGAATGCAGTGGAGAGACTGTGTTCAGCTGCGGGTGTGTCAGCTAACCACAAAGTGTTCAGGATGATAAGAAGTCAGAAAAAACTTAAAATAAGGAAGTGAAAAAAAATTTCTGAAGAGGAAGCAAAATCTCAAATATTTGATAAACTGTCATGGTGGATAAAAAATGGACTTGAAAATGAACTTGAAAGATGAAAGAAAAAACAAGAACAAAAACAAATGGAAAAATAACAACAACAAAAGAACAAAAAATACAGAAAAAGAAAAAAATAGACTTACTCTATTGCTTTAATGGGCACAATTAAAAAAAAAGCCAAGTTGATTATAAAATAAACCAAACAAATTGATTATAAAGGAATTCAGTGCTTGTCAAAAAAACAGAATGAACACAGAAAACAGCTCTCAGGGAAATTGTAGGATTTCCTTTATCAGACTGCAAAATAACTTTTATGCTAATGAGCTGGTAATGACTGACTTCTCAATGTTTAAGTTCATATCACAATTTACATGATTAAAAATTATAATAGAAAGTTCAGCTTAATGATTTGACTACAAATAGATTTTAAAGAAATCAAATATGTTCATGTTCTAAATGTATGTTAGTTTTTTGTTGCTGAGAGGAAGCACCCAGGAAGGAAGGTTTTCTCTGATTTACAGCCTGCGGTCCCAGAGCTCGGGCTGGTGGTGGGGTGGCAATGTGCGGCACAGTGTGTGTGGAGAAATGGTGGCAAGGTCCCTGGAAGCCCAGGACACAGCAGCCACACCCTCACTCCACCCTGTGTGATCTCATCCTGGGCCTCCAGCCTAGCAACTTCCCCAGGCACTGTAACAGGATTAAACCTCCATCTAATCTGCCAATCACCAACCCCTTAATTGCTAATTAATCCATTAACTGTTAACACAAAGCTCTCACAGCTGAACAACTACAAGAGCCTGGGAAACCAATTCCTATTCGATCTAGTACTTTTGCAATAAAACAAATTTTCTGGTGAAATTATTAGCTATTTCTAATTCTAATAAACTCCTAATGTTTTTGTTGTCTGTGCTATAGTGGTAAATCCAGGAATATAAAACGCAGAGGGAGAGAATGCAGAATGCCAATATATGTAATAATTTTACCTAAAAACCCTGGAAAAGGGACCAGCATATGGCACAGTAGGTTATGCTGCTGCTTGGAACATCAGTGTCCCCTACTGGAGTACCCGTCTGAGTCTGGGCTGCTCCATTTACAATTCTGTTTTCCGCTAATGTGCCTGGGAAGGCAGTGGAAGATGTCCAAGTATTTGGGCACTTGCTACCCATATGGGGACACCAGGAGTGAGTTTCTGGCTCCTGGCTTCTGCCTGACCCAAACCTGGCTGTTATAGTCCACTGGAGGATGAACCAGCAGGTGGAAGATCTCTCCTCTGCCTGCTACCACTGGTGGTCCTCTTGCCTTCTCCCTGTTACACTGCCTTTCAAATAAATAAATAAACCTTAAAAGGAAAACCTCAAAGCAAAGATTACTAGGAAAGCAGTCAATACACTTGATAAAATATTTATGAAGGAAATGAGAATGCTATTTAATACTCTGAAATACACAGATTTTATTTTACATCTAGTAAAAAAGCATGCTATATAACTGTGGAGTAAATTATTTTTCTTCTCCTACAGTTAGAGATACAACAGAATAGTTTGAAAAAAAGAGAGACAGGTGGGGGAGCACAGTGTCATAACACGTTAATCCTCTGCCTGTGGTGCTGGCATCCCATGGGCACTGGTTCTAGTCCAGGCTACTCCACTTCTGATCCACCTCCCAGCTTATGACCTGCGAGGACAGCAAAGGATGGCTTGAGTCCCTGGGTCCTTACACCCACATGGGAGACCTGGAAAGAAGCTCCAGGCTCCTAGCTTTGATCTGCTAGGCTCTGGTCATTGCAGCCGTTTGGGGAGTGAACCAGCAGATGGAAAATCTGTCTATCTCTGTACACCTGCGTTTAGAATAAAACAATTTAAAAATAGTACAGTGTAACTTTAAAGCACACACCAATGAATGACAGCATAGAAATTGAATACTTCTAAGTTATACAATCAAAAAATAGTGAAAATAGTAAAGCAGTAAGTCTCATAATCTTAGATAAAGCATGCCATGATTTGAATGTATACTGTAAATTGCACATGTTGAAAACTTAATCCCCAGTGCTACAGTGCTGGGAGAAGGCGCCTAGTAAGAGGTAACTGGGTCCTGACAGCTCCACTTTTGTGTGTGGATAAGGGAGTTATGCAGGAGTGAGTAGGAACAGCACAAGTAGGTTGCTGAAAAGTGAGCTTGCTTGCCGAAAGCCCTCGACTAGAGCCAGCACCATGGACTTCCAAGGCTCCAGAGCCAGAAGCCAAGCACCTCTGCTTCCTTTGTGTTACCTGGTTTGTGCTATGCCGTTATAGAAAGAGAACACAGAACAAGAGCACAACAAGTCACCCAGAGTATTCACACTGAACTACACTATCAAAAGACTCCAGGAAGAATGAGACATTCATCCATTGTTATTTTTTTTAAATAACTGAAGAACAGGCCACAGAATTGTATGTGGTGAAGAATTTTAAACTAAAATGTCTTGATTCTGGGGCCCGGCGCGGTGGCGCAGTGGTTAAGGTCCTCGCCTTGCACGCCCGGGATCCCATATGGGCGCCGGTTCTATCCCAGCAGCCCCGCTTCCCTTCCAGCTCCCTGCCTGTGGCCCGGGAAAGCAGTCGAGGACGGCCCAAAGCTTTGGGACCCTGCACCCGCGTGGGAGACCCGGAAGAGGCTCCTGGCTTCGGATCGGCATAGTATCGGCCGTTGTGCTCACTTGGGGAGTGAATCATCAGACGGAAGATCTTCCTCTCTGTCTCTCCTCTCTGTATATCTGCCTTTCCAATAAAAAAAATAATAAAAATAAATCTTTAAAAAATGTCTTGATTCTAAAACAAACGTAGTGCTTGGTAATTGCAAAATACATAATTAATTGCATTAAAAAAATTAGAGCCAGCCCCGTGGCATAGCAGGAAAAGCCGCTGCCTGTGATGCTGGCATTTCATATGGGTACTGGTTTGTGTTTCAGATGCTTCACTTTGGATTCAGATTCCTGGTATTGGTTCAAGAAAGGCGGCGGAAGATGGTCCAAGCGTTTGGACCCTGCCACCCCTGTGGAGACTCAGCTGAAACTCCTGGCTTTGGCAGGGCCCAGTCTGGCTGCTGCAGATGGAAGAGCTCTTTCTCCTTCTCTATAATTCTGACTTTCAAATAAATAAACAGATCTTTAAGAAAAAAATACGCAAACTTGTAGAAGGACATTGTGACCCTAGAAGATCAGCAAGCACAGGATTACAATTGATTGGATAACATTTGTATGAGAACAACTGAATGGATGCCATTTGTGTGACTGATTGGATATCCTTTGCATGAGAACAACTGAATGGATATCTTTTTGTATAACTGATTAGACAACATTTCAATAAGACAAAATTTTACTCCATTTGGCATTAGGCAATAACCTTAATATAATCCCATCAGCCTGGTCAACTGTCTCCACAAAACGGAAGACACATCTGTTGGCATTCTTGAGGCCTGTGCTCACTGACCTTCTAGAGTCACAATGTCTTTCTACACAAACTCATCTTTTAAAAAAAGAGAGGTTAATTAGTAGTGACTAAAACATGACTGAGAGTTGGCAATACCAAAGCAGAAACTGAAGATTCTTAAGCAAGGTCAGCTTTCAAACACCATGGAGCGGGAAGGACAGGGCCTGGTGAGAACGGGGAGGCAGCCTGAGGACACCCGAGCAGGTGTTCTCAGAAGCACGCTGCGGCTTCTCTGAGCACATACCTCCAAAAGCCTCTGTCTCTCTTTGTCTTGCGGCTTTCCTTTCCCACTGGTGATCTCGTCCACCGAGGTCTTCAAGGCTGCAATCTCGCCCTTAAACCTCTCCAGCGCAGTCTCTGATCTGGAGCTACTGGGCTTGGAGCCCCACTTACTTTTAATTAAATCCTTGGGACTTTTGGATGACATCTCCAAAACAGTCTATAAAAAGAAAACCAGGCGTCTCACTTTAGTCTCAGGTTTTAAAAAGGCCTAATAAGCCATTTGTTCTCAATACAAATGCCTTATCTACATCAGTGGGGTGCGGTAACAATTTCAGTTTTTAATCATTGAGACACATACATGGGCCGTATACATTCATCTTCTAAAAATATATCTGTTTACGCACTTCTGTGCTGTGTTCTGCATGCATCTTACACTTCAGTAGAAGAAAAAAATAAAGAAACAGAGGGTACCCTACCGTTAAATAAGACTGAAGGAAGTAGGTTACAATGAAGGGACTTTCTCACCCATGAATAAAGGGCTGGTGGCAAGTAACAGGATTCTGAGCTTACAGGTATTGGAAAGCCATCACTCAATACAATTCTATGTCCTGCTTATAGCTCAGATCTTTTTAGCTATTTTTGAGAGCATAGCAGCAAAGGAAGATGATATGAAGCATTCACAGAATATGAAGCATTAATATTCAGGGGACTAAGAGTAAGGAACTAGGGAGCCAAATGAATCGGATGACGCTTATCTCTCAACAGTGCTGGATGACAATGACGAAGTACACAGTACAAAATCTAGCAGGCAAATATATAATGAAACCCACTGCGCACATAAAAAGAACACGAAGATAGCTCTTCATTAAAGAACACGTTTTCACTTCTTGTATTCTGTGACAAAATAACAGCAATCAGGCCTTTAGGGGTATGAAACTACTAACAAATTAAAAACTTGCAACAAAGCCTGATTATGGTTAGACACAGGTGGGCCACAGGGAAACGACTTTTAAGGTCATCCTGTGTAGGGAATCAGAAGGTCTAAAAAAATACTGTAGTTGTGTCGAATGAACAGCTCCCACCAGCTATCACAATATAAGATTCTAGCCCACTGTGCGATGGAGAGCTAAGGCGGCCTGTAAGTCTTGTTGAGGCAAGCCAAGGCTGTGGTCCCTCTGGAACCCACTGCCACAGGAACCTCGGGCTTGATCCCCCAAGCCTGACTTGACATACCGGGCTGACACCACAGACAACGAACTTTCTACCAAGCCCTGGTCATTATCATGAACAGGGAGGCATGCCCAGAGCCTGATGGGCTGAAGTCGTGCCGGGACTAAACAAGCATTTTAATGGGCAGCCATCACATGCCAGGACTTCCTTAAGGGGAGACAAATGCTAACGGGCATCCTCACCCCAGATCTCACGTGGAGAGACAGGCCAAGACAACCTCCAAGAGGCGCTGCTTTCCACTCCCGTCGCCGAAAATACACCAGGACCCCATGCTCTGGGATGAAATCTTAACGAAAGACCCTGGTTTAGGCACCTGGCCACTTTGCACGCCGTTAAGATGCTGGCAATACGTACCGCAGGGCTCTTCCGATGTGTGGGAGAGACGCCGCCGTCCTACAGGCGCGGGTGCCCGGGCGTGCTGGGATGCTGTTCCGCAGCCGGATTGCCGACCCCGCCTCCCTCGCGGTCCGGCCTGGCTCCGGGGCTGCCGGGCCTGGTCGCTGCCCGGGAGCTGCCAGCACCTGAGCCTGAGCGCGGAGCCCGCAGGGCCCAAGCACAGCCGCCGGCACCGACGCCGCTTCCGGGAGTTTGAATCCCGCGGCCACGGCGGCGGGGACGCGCTAAGCCGAGGCGCGCCTGCCGATTGGCTGCGGCTGCGTAGACGCCGAGGGGCGGAGCTGCGTGGAGGGCGGGGTCGGGCCGCGAGGTGGGCGGTGGCCTGCGGGTGAGGCGTCCGCTCTGGCGTTCTGTCAAGAGATTTTTTTTTTTTTTTAGGAAAAGCGGATTTACATTCCTCTGCTTCTAGGAATGCAAATGACTATTCCTGAGGACTGAGTGCAGCGACGCCGGGCCGGGGCTCGTCGACAGCCCCTCAGCCCTCGGAGGCGGACAGCTCCCGCCGAGGAGCGCGGCTTTCCGGTCGCCCCTCTGGGCTGTTTTCATTCGGCCCCAAGTCAGGGGTGGAGCCCCAGCGAGCAGGGAACAGGGCAACGGCGGGCACGCCCGGGTTGAACGCTGAGATTGCCAGCCCTGGGCAGGCGGCGACAGATTGCAGCCCTCCCGCCTGTGATCTGCCAGCCAAGTGTGGGTCGTGGGCCGCCGCCTTGAGAGCGTTCTTCGCGAAGAGGTGCAAGGACCTGAGAATTGGCAGGGCCTCTTTCTCCCTTAGACCAAGCATAAAATCAATAAAAATTTAAAATAGTGTTATTTAAAAGAGTAGCAAAGCATCTCGGGAAGGCAGGTTGCAGAGGTTAAACCATAGATAAAGAAAGACTGGCTGCCTTTCGAACCTGCCTGCCTCTTACAAAATGTACGACCTTGGATAAGTTGTGTAACCTCTCTGAGCCTTGATTCTCTGGTTGATTAACGGGTGCAAGTCATAACTACTTCATTAGGCAGTCATGAAAATTAAACAAGAGCATCTTTGTAAAGTGAATTTCCCATGGATGCTAACTATTGTTAAACAAGCAACAGTGTCATATGACTGAGTGGAGTGAATAAGAAACTATCGGGGAATGTAAAAGATAAAAAACCACCAACATAGTGCTAGGCGGTGAGTTTAGCACCTCCTTCCAGGAGCTCACGTTTCTGAAGGGTTTCCTTCCTCTTGGTTCCCGTCCTCTCCTTCACGTTAATGTATGTGATAGGATTGGGATAGGGGAAAGCAGGAAAATTAAAGAGGCACAAAATTAGCGCACCTTTTGAGCCAAATGGGGAACAGATGAGGGAGGGAGGTGTTGTGTGATAGGGGTGGCACTCTGGGCCTGCTGGGCCAGACCCTGCACTTCCTCTCTGCTGTCCAGGGCTTTCTTTTCTAGGGGTAGTTTCCCCCACTTCCCCTGCCCCTCTTGAGTAGGGTTGGGATTCCCGGGGCTTGGGGGTGTATGTGAGTAGGTAATTATCATTGCTGAACCTGAACGGGGGTTTGCTCTTTGCAGATAGGTGCTGCCAATCATGATGTTGCCTGGGGCTGGACGGTTCCTGAAGGTGTCACAAGGTAACAGTACTTTGGAGTTGACTGTTCACCTAGGGATAAGGCAAAGATTGAAAGCTCATCTTTATTCCTGTGAAGAGAGAAGCCAGACAGCCAGGCTGACTAGGCGTTTATCACAGCAGGTGAGCTCATTATCTTCCCAGTAGGAAAAGGTTCTCCGGAAACCAAAACAGTATCAAAGGCTGCGGGACAGGTTTAGAATGACTAAATGGAAATGAGGTGTTGTTTTGGATGAACCGCCCCTCACCCTTGAGGAGTGTGTCTTTCAGAGGGATGCTAATGAACGCGCAGGTGTCTCCTGCGGAGGGCGGCACAACTTTCTGCACTAAAAAAGGAAAGGTTACTTTTGCTCTATCTGGTGTCACAGAACTGGCCACACTCTGAGTGCTTGAAATGTGGCTATGGGCGGTTAGGAACCAAACTCAACTTTTACTAACTTCTGGTTTTAAAGCCAAGATTCGATTTAGTTATTCAAAAACTTTCAATTAGTTTGGAACAGTTTGGGTACAAAAACCTGTTTTTTTTTTAATATTAAAATTTTATGAGATCCAAATATAAAGCAAGTATTTCTCTTTTTAAAAAAAGATTTATTGGGCCCGGCGCGGTGGCGCAAGTGGTTAAAGGTCCTCGCCTTGCACGCCCGGGATCCCATATGGGCGCCGGTTCTAATCCCGGCAGCCCCGCTTCCCTTCCAGCTCCCTGCTTGTGGCCTGGGAAAGCAGTTGAGGACAGCCCAAAGCTTTGGGAACCTGCACCCGCGTGGGAGACCCGGAAGAGGCTCCTGGCTTCGGATCGGCATAGTATCGGCCCGTTGCGCTCACTTGGGGAGTGAATCATCGGACGGAAGATCTTCCTCTCTGTCTCTCCTCTCTGTATATCCGCCTTTCCAATGAAAAAATAATAAAAATAAATCTTTAAAAAAAGATTTATTTATTTTTATTGCAAAGTCAGATATATACAGAGAGGAAGAGAGATGGAGAGTCTTACGTGTGTGGCAGGGATCCAAGTACTTGGGCCATCATCCACCACCTTCCCAATGCAATGTCTGGGAATTGGATCAGAACTAGAGCAGCTGGGACTCAAACTGATATTCTGATATGGGATACCAGTATTGTAAGCAACATTTTAACCTGCTGTACTAGGTTGCCAGCCCCACATTTTAAATTGGCAAATGGACACCCTCAGCACCATACTGAGATGACAGTAGGTTTACCAGCTGGACATGTTTAAAAACCATTGCAGAGGCAAGTATTCTGAGATTTTCTCTGGCTGTTGTATTTCCTAAAAAAGCATTCTTGTTAGTCAATCAATGATGTTTTTCTGACTTGGTCCTTGATTTGAGGTATATTTTATTTGAAGAGGGCAGGTGTCGGGGGAGATCGTAAAAGAGTACGCTCCAGGGTAGGGTGGTAGGGGGATTCACTGAGGCAACATAAAATGCTGAACGTCCTGTTTGCACTTGGCAAGGCCTGCATAGAGGTGATGCGTTAGTTAGTAATAGAACCGGGATGGCTCTGTGGGCTGGGACCTGCCTAGCTCACTGCTTGTCTGCTTGACCTCGTGCATGATATTCCTCTGATATCAAATGGCTTGAAGTTTCCTAGGACTCCCTGTGTGTATTTTCTTAATTGCAGTTCTAATTACACAAGCAGACATGTGCCTGCAATTTAGTCCAGCTATTCAAACTCACTTCAGCTATTAGTCAGCAGCTCAGCTATCCGGCTTGACCATCCCTGCCCTGTTAGACACCTGTCTCCTCTGTTTACTTCTTTCTCCTTGCCCTGAGTACATTATGATACAATTATCTGTAACTGCTCTTGGAGAACAAGTGTGTCTTATTCATCTTTGTAGTTAGCATTATGCCAGGCACCAACTAGACTTCAGAGAGCTAAATAAAATGATACATAAATGAATTAAAAATCTTAGAGGACATCTATAATAGAAGGAGGGCAGAACAAATGGGTCAACCACGCCAGCCAAGTGTTGGCAGCAAATATCTGGGCAAATGGAGAAGCTAGGGTGGACAGTGTCAGCCATTGGACCTTGGAAGGATTTCCTCATCCTTGGATCGGTGCGATAAACAGCATTTCAGAACTATCAAACTATTGAAACCGCTTGAGCAGAGCTCTTGGAGCATGCTTCATACCAGGGACCCTGGGATGTTGTTGGGTGGCCATTCCCCCATCCCTGGATACTGAGGCATTTGGGAGGCTGGGTTCAGCTTCTCCCCTTATCTTCCCTCATCCCCCAGATATAGGAAAAGGAAAAAAGAAAATGTGGAAACAATAGTCTTACCCACTTTCCTCTTACCTTTGACCCTTCCAACCTTAATCACCTATGTAAAAATCATTAAAAATAAAGTTAAAAACAAGAAAAAAAAAGATTCTTAGAAAAGAAAGATTGGGAACCATTTGCCTATCAAACAATTTGAAGGGAATTATTGTTTCTGTTAAAGTAAAAATAGGATTTTAAATTATTTTGCTTTTCCCTATTTTTTTAAGATTTGTTTTAGAAAATGTTCTGATATTTCACTGGGGAGGGTCAGTCGTTCCTGTCTCGTATTCAGCTCCTCCAAATTGCTTTGAACAATGGCAGTATTCTGGTGCCAAGTGTAAAAGACTTTATCTTCTGCCCCCCACCTAGACTTAATCACTGCCAAAAGTTCATAAATGAAATTCAAATATGCTGTGTACTAGGTTATCTAAAAACAGTGTCTACCATTGCACAATACCCTTTAATTAAGATATTAAAAGTAGTATTTTAGTTCTAGAAAACTTTTATCAACTGAAATAATTTTTGAGTAGTTATTTTAGCTAAAGAAATCTTAACAATGAGCCCTCTATGCTCATCAGTTTGAAAATGGCTGTCAGATATTATGGTGCTCTTCCTTTATCTATGGGTGCTATAGTCCAAGCCCCCCAGTAGATGCCCAAAGCCATGGAGAGTACTTTACACTATAGGTACCAGACTTATTCTGTACATACATATCTGTGATAAAGTTTAACCTATGCATTAGCTACAGTAACAAATTAACAATGATTAATATTACATAGAATAATTAAAATAATATTTAATCCTTTAAAAACTTGTCCATTGTTTATTTCTGGACTTTTCTATTTAGTTTTTTCAGACCGTGGTTGACCGTGACTGATCATGGGTAACTGATGCCATGGAAGACAAAGCCAGACAAGGGTAACTATATCTCAGAATCCACAAACCTGAAGCTGGAATAAGATGTTGTGACTCTGTCTTCCTTTCTCATCACTTAATGCTCATTACTTGCCATTGTTGCTTTGTTCTCCACAACTAGATTTTAGCAGTCTCCCCTCTCCTTCTCATAGTATTTGCCTTTCTCTGTTCTTCTCGCCCCAGTGCTTGGGCAGACCCAAAGCTGGTCAACTAGATTAATGCCAAAGGTGATTCTACACGAGAGGTGGGGAATAATGAAACAGAAATGAAATCCCAGCTGAAGTGAAGCTGGGAACATCTGGACTCTGATGACACTGGGTTTGACTTTTGGCTCAAAGTTTGATTTCTGAGCATCCTTTGCATCATCTGTAAGGACAGGC